AGAGTTTTAGCCTCTGCGGATGCATACTGTCCTCTGGAGGCCACCGTTCATGCTTCAGGCTGGCCAGTCTTCTGGTTATTTCGGGGGAGCGGGGTTTTTTTTCACAGAAACCTCAAACCGGCTGAAACGTGGTCTCAATAAACGGCCTTGTGAAGTGCTCTCCCCTCAACTTGTCGTCTTAGCGCATATTTCCTTGTTCATGCAGCCAGAGACCCAGGGATGGGGCTTCAAGTCCTCCCCACCTGTCTGCGGTGTTATCTCGCTGCATAAGAATGATTTGTCCGTCTGTTTCTCCTAAATGAATTCCTTCAAGGTTGGAGTTACTTGTTAATCATTTTCATATCTCAGGTCTGCTCCAGAACTTGGCAGATAGCCGGCATAATGCATGTTTACTGAGTGAATAAACGAAGGAAGGAGCATGCTTTCCGAAGACAAGTTACTCAGAGTGACCCCTGGGGTCGGAGCCTTCGATCTGCTTCAGAGCCATGGTGTGAGAAGTTCATGAGTCCAGATTTTTTTCTGATTTCTATTTAGAGAACAATTTTATTTTTTCAAAAATGACCCCAAAGAGTCTAAATGAGTCCGTTGCAAAGGAAATAGATTAAAAATAATTCATTAATTAAAGCCCAAAGGTCCTGTCTCACAAGACTCTTGATGGTTTGGTTGCCACGTGAGGAAGAGAATGCTGATGCCAGCAGCCGTTCACACACCTTCTCAGCTAGCATGTCCACTCCCCTGCTGAGGTAATTGTCAAACACATGTCAGTAGTTCAAATCAAGGCCACGGATCACCTACAGCTGAACAAGAGAATCCTAACCAGAAGTTTGCTCAGAGATTTCAATTGTTCTTCAGGCTTCCAGATTTTGAGTGACTCTACAAACAAGTTTGCTCAAGGAAATGACGCTGAGAACAGGTCTGATGGCATTATAGATAAAGTCTTGGCAGAACACTTAGGAGTTCTGACTTTAAAGACTCGAGGGGGAGTTTTGCTAATCTTGACATAAAAAAAGTCTCTCTCGGGGTAATTTAAGAGGTAAACTGAATGTCATGTTAGAAGTCTAGCACAGCATTATGCTTTCCTCACAAACACTCCTCTCACACGCATCATCAAATGAAAGAAAAATTGCCAAGACGTTCGTTAACAAGAAAATTCATGTACAAGCTTGTCTCCTGTCCTTGATACAGAAAAAGGATTTTCAGAGGCCCTACATCTGCATGATTTGATCTTAAAAGTGGCTCTTTTGGCTCTGGAAGGATAAACCAACGAAGTTCGAAACTGCCTAAAGAACCTGTTTATATTGATCCACATTATCTGTGGGCATTTTGCTCTTGATAAGCAAGAAAAAATAATCACTAGCCATGGATAAATAAAACTTTATTTCTAATCCTTAGAATAGTTCTTTTTTTTTTTTCCCCTGAAAAAAATGCTTCAGACTCCTTTACTAGACTGGCCTGTCTTCTCCAAAGGAAGAAAATTATGCTGCTAAGCCAATTATTAAACATTGGGGGGGGGGCTGAAGGTGTATAAAATGTAGTCTGCTACAGTAAATTACTAGAAAATGGTTAACCAATGTATAAAACACAGAATGAAGAAAAGAGTTTCAAAGGGTGTAACGCAATGCAAGAGAACCCCATGGGAATTCTTTTTCTGAAGGAATCATTTATAAAGTGGGTGACTGTGATCCAAGCACTGGGGAGGTTTAGTCAGGATTATGAATTGAGACTAGCTAATGCTAAGTGGTGAAACTCTATCTCAAGAATTCCCAGAAGGGGTTGGAGAAATCACTCAGTGGTTAAGAGTGCTTGCTACCCTCACAGAGGACCTGAGTTCAGTTCCCAGCACTGTAGTGGGTAGCCATTCCAGCTTTGATCTGGAAGTTCCAACCCCCATTGAGACTTCAGCAACTGTCACGCCTACAAGGCAGGGCCAAGGGAGGCGCCTGGGGACCCGAGAGCTAGATCGGGGAGCGCTCTCCGTTGCGGGACCCTGGATGGTGGAGGTGGGCCAAGCAGAGCTCCAGAGAACACCGCTGGACTGTGATACACCTTCCCCAGACCCTGCGACCTACCTATCCCTTAATTTGTAAGTTACGCCATTAAATAAATCTCCTTTTAACTACGTGGAGTGGCCTTAATAATTTCACCAATACAGCACCCATGTTGGGCAGCTCATAATTGTCTGTAATTCCAGCTCCAGGGGATCTGATCCCAGGCTGAAAAGCAGACATGTTACTGCTCAAATCTCCAGCCCGCTATAGAATTCTGGCTTCAGAAATCCTGTGAAAAACACGTGCCATTGTTTGAGCTACTGCCCACAGTTGCCCAGACACAGATATTGCAGCGCAATCCCTGGTGTGTTACTGGTACATGGACTGCTCTCACCCAATGTGAGGTCGAACTATTGACCTTGTGTACATCCTACTTCACAAATGAGTCTGTCAGATACGCTAAGCCTATAGGCTGAAGATGATGCCCCAACACTGCGGAGAAACCTCAGGTGACTGTCCAGGCAGCTGGCTGTTTCTGTCAACTCACAATTTTTTTGGAAGTTGCTTGCATGTACTTCCTGTTTTTATTTTTATTAGGTAATATTATTTCCTTCTTGGGTATCTGAGGGAGTTGAAGATTAGTTAGTTAAAGTTGAAGATTAGTTAGTTATAGTTGAGAAGATTAGTTAGTTATAGTTGAAGATTAGTTAGGATAGAAAGTGAATTAGGTACATTTTGGACTTACCAAAATAGGATAGATAATGGAATTATTTTTTCTGAATTTGTCAAATACAAATGAACGAGACATTGTTTAGGTATTTATTACTTGTATATATTGTATATAGTTATTGTACTTTTGTATATAGTTTTTCTTACGTTAGTTATAACAGCAGAGTTTAGACCCTGCTCTTAGGTACTCGAGAGTCTGAATATGGCCACGGAGCCTCTATTTATATATTTTTCTCTTGCAATCCTGGTAATTGGTCAAGTTTAAAATTGTAGATAAAAATGGCTAATCCCAGCTGGGCAGTGGTGGTGAACACCTTTGATCCCAGCACTCGGGAGACAGAGGCAGGCAGATCTCTGTGAGTTCAAGGCCAGCCTGGACTACAGAGTGAGTTCCAGAACAGCCAGAGCTGTTACACAGAGAAACTCTGTCTCAAAAAAGCCAAAAAAAAAAAAAAGGTAGGGGGTGGGGTGGGGGGCACTAATCCCATTCATGTATTTAAAATTACTGCATCATATTTTTATTAAAGACAGCCAGTGTACTTTGAATATCCATCAGCTAAGTAAGTCAAAAGAAAGAAAACCTCAGCTTGCCTAATTTCCCCTAAATATTAAATGAGTAGACAATAACGCATAATCTACAATAATGAAAACTATTTATACTTTTCGTAAATAATTTACCTTTCATAAGTAAATTATCATTTACTTATTTACTTAAAACCATGTTTGTGACCACGAACTCAGGTCCTGTGAGGGGCAGAAAAGGCATCAAATGCCCTAAGTTGGACTTACAGGAGGTTGTAAACCACCTGGTGTTGGTGCTCAGAACCGAACTCAGGTCCTCTGGAAGAGTAGTGCATGTTCTTAACCACTGAGCCAACTCTCCAGGCCCTAACATCTATTTGATTTTATAAAGGACACCACTTGTATGTGAACGTGTGTGTGTGTGTGTGTGTGTGTGTGTGTGTGTGTGTGTGTGTGTGTGTGCTGGGGCGTAGTGTGTGAAGACCAGAGGACAACTTTGTGAGTTGGATCCCTCCTAACACCACGTGGGTCTCAGTTGTTGACTCAGGTCAGGCCTGGCAGTGGTACCCCAGAAGCACTCTAGATCAGTCTTACTTACTCCAGAATTTCCTGTAATGGAATCATGTAATATGCACCCTTTAGTGCCTGTCTTCTTTCACTTGGCATAATGCTTCTGAAACTCACACATGTTTCGTGTTTCAGTAATTCATCTTTTTTTTTTTTGCTGCTAAGTAGCATAACCATGGATGTATTTGCCACAGTTTATCCAGAGTTGTTTCTGGGGTTTGGCTGTTATGAGTAAAGCTGCTATAAAAGTCTTCCCAACAATGATTTAAATACTTTATTTTCCCATGGGTAAACACCAGGGAATGGAATTGTTGAGTGAGAATGTGGGTTTTGATATATTCGTTATGTAAGAGAGTTCTGCCCACTCACCAACACTGTGGAAATGCCAGCAGCTCCATATCCTCACGGCTGACGTCAGTCTTGCATCTCTGCTGTTCTGATGCATATGAACTGATAGTTCACTGTGGTTCAAATTTGCTTGTCTTTTATAAAAATGGTTTGAGGGCTTTTTATTTGAGCACATTTGGCCACTTATACATTTTCTTTCATAAAGTTACTGCTCAAATAATTTTTTAGTTTTTAAGTTGAGTTATTTATGTTTTGAGTTACATACATTCTATACATACTTTTAAAATATTTTGAATTCTTTGAGAATTTCATACAGTGTATTTTGGACATACGCACCCACTCTTCCATATATATACACACTTTGAATACATATTCTTCACCAGATAAATACTTTATAAATATTTTCAGCTCTTTATTTTCTTAATGATGTCTTTTCAGGAGCAGGAATTTTAAACTTTGATGAAATCTAATTTATCATATTTTTCTATCTTATTGTTTATATTTTCTGCATCCCCTGAGAAACTTTTCTCTATATTCAATTTTCAGAAACATTTTACTATACTTCCTAAAATATTTTAAAGCTTGAGTCAGCAGGATGACTCAGTGAGTAAAGGTGTTTGCCATCAAGTCCTGGCCACCTGCGCTTGATGCCTGGGGCCCATGTGGAGGAGGAGGGAGAAAAGAAACCCACAGAGTTGTCCTCTGGATGGATGCTACATGCACATTCTGGCACTAGTGTCCTGTCTACACCATGTGTACATGAGCACACACACACACATTAGCAATAATCAATAAGACATTTTAAAATTCATCTCAAAGTTCTACGATTCTTAGCCTGTGACCTACCTTGACTGTTTGCTGTGGACGGTATGATGGCAGACTGAGGTGAATTCTTTCCCTATGTGGATGTCATGTTTCAACATGACTTAGCAGAAAACTTTTTGCTGGACTAGATAGACTAGATGGATCCTCTATCAAAAGTCACATGGGAGTAGGAAACAAGCTCAGCTCATAAAAGTGCTTGATGTGGGAGCACAAGGGTCTGAGTTCAATACCTGGAATCCTGGAAGAAAGAACACATCTGTAAACCCGGCACTCAGGTGGCAAGATAGGAAACAGCGATAGGGGAAGGGAGCGGACATGCGCAGAAACAAGCAAGACCCTGCCTCAACATGGCGGGAGAGAACCAATTCAAGTTCTCCTGAGTGCTACATGAGCACATGCATGTGGGCACACACACACAGAGTTATAATATAGGACTTTCCATTTTATTTTATTGTCTGTTTACCTCTATGTCAAATACTACCTGTCCTCATTACCATAGCTTTATAAGTTATGAAATCAGATAACAAAGTCCTTTAAATTTTTCTTCAACTCTTTGCAGTAGTTGCACAAGTTTTAAAATCAAAATCTATTCATATGTCAGTGCTGGAGAGGTGGCTCAGTGGTTAAGAGTCTATCGTATAGACTCTACACTGTTCTTGCAGAGAACCTGAGTTTGATTCCCAGCACAGCCATTAACAACTGCCTGTAACTCCAGCTCCAGGAAGATAGCTCTGACACACACACACACACACACACACACACACACACACACACACACACACACACACACACATACAAATAAAATATCTACAGTCATGCTTCCAAGTCATGCTCCAGGTACCCGGACCATGTTGGATGGAATCCTGGTGCTGACATCTTGGGCTCACCTATCTCAGTCTGGAAATCTACCTTTCTTTTCATTTGTATAACTACTCCCAAAAGCTGTGGTACATTGCCTCCACCCATAAGCCATTTGTCCCTAGAGAGCAGCTCTGTACTCTTAAGATGGGATGAAGCCGGCAGGACCTGTCCTATAACTTCAACCAGACACAACACCACAGGCCATTACCTATTTTGACTACAACAAAGTGACTTCAACCATCAGAATCTTCACTGACAGATACAATCATTGTTACTTGTCCACTACAAATAAACACTACAGTTCAGAGTTTGTAATTCATAAAACATTCAGAAATGTCAGCTGAACTAGTCTCACACTAAGCTTGAGGAAAACATTTTATTCAGATTGCTAACCTAAGTTTCAAACAAAGATTTTTTTTTACAAAGAGCAGCTTAGCGGGTTTTAAATATTCTTTCTGCAGGGTGTCATGGAGTGATACTTCCCAAAGCCAACTTAGGTTATCCATCATATGATGATTAATGGCAATGCGGGGGAAAGCTTCTCTTTAACTTCCAGTCAATTTTAGCCTTTCCAAAGATTTCCTTCTGTTTTCAGAGAAGGGTGCTTGGAAGGAAAGAATAACCAAAGGAACGGGAAAGGGCAACAGAAATCTCCCTCAGAAAATCCGATCGTCTTTTGCAGAGACTGGCACGGTTTCCACACACTCACAGAGGTACCCCCCGGTTATGTTGCAAAAGCCACGCAAATAATAATTGTGGCTAAGTGCTGTACTGACAGTCAATATTGTATTTTCCAAGCTTGTCCTCATTATTCTTTATAGTATTCATGCATTTTGTGAAAGATCAAAAGATTTACATATCATATGGAGTGCTTTAGGGAGTAACTTGCTGAGTACTTTAAATGCGCAATGTTCCACAGCCTTTTAAAGTCGGATTTCACTTCTCTCTCCTTTGTGATAAAAAAATAACAAGATAGAGCTAGATGGGTTCTTCCCTCAATATAATAAAATGTCTATTTTTAAATATAAGATGAGAGTTTGATATTTTTATCTCTGAATCCAAATACAATTTTGTGGTCCCAAATAATAAACAGTCGCTTTCTTTTAACATACGCATTTGAAGAAAGAAAGAAAAAAAAACCCCAAATCTATATAACCCAACCTCAACAGATCCTCAAGCGAACCGCTACACACACACCACAACGTTCACTGCAGTTATTAATAATAGAATTGATATATCTGCTTGGAGACACCAAGAGTGTAGGCTTTCTGGAAGTGGAGAATAGAGACCCATGGCTTTTATTTGACAAAACATAAGTGTGGTAGGAGCTAGTAGCAGTCATTTACTTGGTAGATGTAGATATAAAGTGTAATGGGGAATATTCTCAGGAGAAGCAGTCTGGCCTGCTGGAGCCGAATGTCCCTTACTAATTGGGTCAGGTCAGAAGCTGAAGATCTGCTGTGCTGGAACTCTTCATGAATGGACTGTTGTGCCTTGCGCTCCTGAGGTTAGTGTTGACAAAACATTAGGGGGTGGTTGTTGACAGGAGCAGAGCCAGCTCAAAGTCATTGCTCCCAACACAAATGCTTTTAAGAAAAGCACAGTGAGGCTGGGGAGGTGGCTCATGGGTAAAGGCTCTAGCCACATAACTCTGAACACCCAGGTTTCATTCCTGGAACCCCCATCGAAAGCCCAATGCAGTGCTGCACACCTGTAATCTCACTACATCTGCTCTGAGAAGAAAGGTAGAGACCAGAGAGCCAGCTAGCCCAGGGCAGGCAGCAGAGCCGCACAAAGAACAGGGACCTTGCCTCAGCAAGGTGGAAGGTGCGAACAGACTGTCGGAAGTTGTCCTCTGAGCTGCACATGCGTGTGCGTGCACGCGCGCTCGCGCGCACACACACAAAATAAATATTTTCTAACAAAGAAACTAAAAATCTTCCTAAAATCAGCTATGCAAATATGAAATAAGTCAGACAGGTAGTTTGTTTTCCATCCAGTACTCTATAAATATTAACACGAACAGACCCCACTTTGTCCTATCACATTCTATTCACTGGGCTTTCCCCAGCACACTGTGTCCAAGAGGAGAAGGGAGTCACCATCATCAAGCCTTTCTTCTTGAGACATGCTGTCTTCCTACTATGGCAAAAAAGTCCTGGGGGAGCTAGAGAGTGTGTTTGTTTGGGGCATTTCACTTTACTCCAGAACAAACTGAGGGAAAACTCTTCTTTAATGAACCAGCACAGTGTAGAGAATTCTGCTTAAATATTTGCTCAGATAATATTTCCTCACTCTGAAGCTACGGATCTGGCAACAGAGACAGATTAATAGCAGCAGTGAGCCCCACAGTTGTTTGAAGAAAGACTCGCATATCAAGGCAGGAACTAAAAGACTGACACTCGGGGTGTAGGATCCACAGAGATGCTGCGCCATCCTCCGAGAGCCAGCGTGTGCACGGCTCTGACTCTGCCTCCTTATCCCAGAGTGTCCCAACAGAAGTGACACAGGAATTCCAAAGCCAAAACACACATGGAGCATGCTAAGTCAGCTGTAGCTTTGGATATAATATATTCTGAAACATTTGAAAGATGATCAGCAGCAAGTCCCAAACTCATATCAATATAATGTGAAGCTTGTTACAAACTCAAACTAAAAAATGTCAAAGACAAAAATAGTGATCTTTAGAGAGAAGATTAAAATATAGATACTACTAAAAAAAAAAGAATAGTTTTGTTTTTGTGTGAGGGGGTTGTTTGAGTGAACGTGTAACTCTGACTTAAAAACAAATAGTTCCAGATTATGGTCTCAGTTTTCAGCTTTCATAGTGTCTCAGAACTAAAATCTTATTGAGTTGCCCAAGGTAGCCTCGAACTTCTAGTTCAAGTAATCCTCTTCCCTTAGCTCCCAAATATTACCTCTTGACTTATAGTACATTTGATAAATCTCTAGCCCCCTCCCTTCTCCCCCTGCAATCTCTCCCCCTTTCCTTTTTTTCCCTTCCTCCTTCCCCAAGATGCTTTCTCCACAAAAATGCATCCAAAATGTTTTGTCTAATATCTCCTTAAACTATGTTTGCTGACAGAATTTGAAGTGATTACCACCAAAGTTTAGTTCCTTCTGATGCATACATTTCATTTCTTATAAAAAAAAAACAACAAAAAAACCAACCCATGGGTTTCTTTGTGTTAAAAATAGTAACAGCAAATATTCCACTAAGCTTGCAGATGTTAATGTTACTAGGTAGTAGACTTAAATTCTTTTTGTTTGTTTATTTTATTTTATGTATATAGTGTTTTGCTTGCATGTATGTATGTGCATTATGTATGTGTATTATGTGTGTGTAGTACCGTCAGAGATCAGAAGAGGGCACTGGATTCCTCGGAATCAGAGTTACAGATGGTTGTGAGCCATCATGTAGGTTCTGAGAACTGAATGGAACCCAGGACCTCTGAAAGCAACAAGTGCTTTTAATGGCCGAGCCATCTCTCTACACTGCTTCTTTGTACTTCAATATCTATTTGTTATTCTCAAAAATAAAATAATACACTATCTGTTTTTAAAAACATGAAAGACCAGGCTGACAGTGAAGGCAGACTTTCGGTGTCTGAAATCTCATGACGCATTCAGGGCTGGATCAGGAGCAAAAGGAAGAAATGCGGGAACCCATGTCAGATCCTCCTACCCAGCCCTGCACTGCTCTAATTGCTTAGCAGTCAGCTTGTATGCTAGGAGATTGACCTCACTATCGCCTTCTCAAGGGTCAGATATTGTTTTCTTCTTTCTCTTCCTTCTCCCTCTTTTTCCTCCCTTCTTTCCTTCTTATCTCATTCCCTCCTTCCCTCCTCCCCCTCTTTCTTTCCTTTTAAGACAAAGTCTTATATGCAGCCTGGCTGACCTGGAAACCACTATGTAGATCAGGTTATCCTCAAAGTCACAGAAATCCACTTCCTCTACCTTCTGAGTGCTGAAATTAAAGCATGCTCCACCACACCTGGCCTAAAAATCAAGATTTTTAACAAAGGATGTGGTGGGAGCCACTTCTCAACCTTGTTTATGGAAAGGGATATCAGTGAGTACTTCAGGTCACATGGTCTATTAGCCAGCACTCCCTAACTGTGACAAAGTACCCAAAAGAATCAGCTTGTATAATAGGAAGTTCTATGAAGCCAGCTTCAGAGGTCTTAGTTCATGGCTTCTTAGTCCTGTCACATTTAGGCCTGATGTGGTACAGTAGATCATGGCTGGAGTGTGTGGAGAAGGACCTGTTCACTTGGTGGAAGATATGAACAGAGAAGAGACTGGTATTCCGTTATCCCCCTTGAGAGACCACCCCTATTGACCGAAGACCTCCTACTAGGCTCCATCCATTAGATGTTCAGGAAGGTCCCCAAAGAACCAAGCTGAGAACAAGCCCTTAACTTAGTAGAATTTTGTGGGATGTTCTAGATCCAAACTATAGCACCTGGCATCATTTGATATCCCAGGAAAACACTAGAGAGATCTCCCACTCAAGCAGAAGTGTCCTAAGGTTGGGAAATAAGTAAGAAAGTGTGGGACAAGCTAAAACTATCATAAGGATCTTGGTGAAGAAATCTGATTAGAAAGTAAGGTTAAGACCCAGATAAATCCCTTCAGATATGATGCTGGCCAGTTTTATGTTAACTTGACACAAGCTGAAGACATCTGAGAGAAGGGAACCTCAGCTGAGAAAATGCCTCAGTAAGATCTGGCTGTAGTCAAGTCTGTAGAGCATTTTTTTTTTTTAGTTAGTTAGTGATGGATGGGCAAGGGTTCAGCCCACTGTGGGTGGGGCAATCCCTGGGCTGATGGTCCTGGGTTCTTTAAATAAGCAGACTGAGCAAGCCATTGGAAGCAAGCCAGTAAGCAAGCAGCACCTCTCCGTGGCCTCTGCATCAGCTCCTGCCTCCAGGTTCCTGCCCTGTTTGAGTTCCTGTCCTGACTTCCTTCAGTGATGAACAGTGATCTGGAAGTATAAGCCAAATACATGTTTTCCTCCTCAACTTGATTTTGGCCCTGGTGTTTTATCACAGCAATGGTAACTCTAACTAGGACAGATTACACATAAGAGAAACAGGCATGTTCTTAGAGCCCCCAGGTCTAAACTGCTTGGAACCCTTGGAGCCTTCCACTTCAATGATTGGTTTGGTCAAAACTGATGCTACTCACATACAACCTCCAGTGAGATTTGCTTCTTGCAAATACTTCCACAAGTCCCTGGCCTTTACACTGGCCATCATTCATTTGTAGATCTTCATGGCTTCTCTCACTTAAATACACATAGAGAGAATCCAAGGTGTGACTGAATATAGCCAATGTGACTGTGAGGTATATCTTCCATGACCTGCATCCAAGTCAACACGGGCTGGATCTGGAGAGCAGGGCACCCTTTCTGGGAATCCAATCATGGCTTGGAAGAATATCTGCTAATCAGAACAGCTAACATTTATTGGGTACTTAATGTGCACCTGGAACTGTGCTAAATATTTGACATTCATTATCTTGCTTAATCCTTACAATCTCTATTATCTTCATTTTATAGATGAAGAAATTGAGGATTACAAAAGTCAAGAAACCCACCCCCAGTCACATGGCCATACATCTGGATAGGAAGAAATCCAAGCCTGGGGGTGACTGTCTCATACGTTGTATATCCTTGGTGATATCTTGCTACTGGGAAGGGGAATATTCAAAACTAGTGAGAGGCCACAGAGTCCATACACTTCAGAAAGGAAGACAGACCTTTTTCTGGTTTCAAACACCAGGACAGCTTCCTTTATCTATTAAAGCCAAATAAATTAATGTCAAAAGAAATGAGACCTGGTAGAAGAAGGTAGGTCATTGGGTGTGTGCCTTTGAAGTGTGTATTGGCACTCCCCCCACACCTCTCTGTCACCATGAGGCAAGCAGACCTCTACCACCCACTTCTGCCACAATGCTTTCTCTACCATGATGGACAATGTCCCTTCTGAGCAGGTTATACTTAGGAATATATATGTATATACATGCACATACATGAATGCAATAACAATTAATGAAAAAAGAGAGCATGAATTTGAAAGAGAGCAAGGAGAGATATACGGGAGTGTTGGAGGAAGGAAAGGGAAGGGAGAAATGTTGTCAGTATAATCTCAAAAGAGTAAAAATGAACAAACAAATAAAGATTAAAAAGTTGCAGAGAGAGCTCTGAAAAGCTGTGATCTATGGGCCTCTGTACTCCTCAGGCTTCATCTCTGTCACCACCTACATGGTGCCACAAAAGGGCTAAGATGATATACATACATACATACATACATATATATATATATATATATATATATATATATACAAATATACAGATATATATCTCCTTACTTACAAACAGTGGTCTGTGCAAAGAAAAGCATCCCCATTTAGATCTGAAGTCTCTTATTGCTTAACACTCACCCTACAGCCTTGAAAAAAGACAAGAAATTAGACAGGTGTGCCAGATACTTCTCCGTCTTAGGAAGCAATTTTTCAGGCAGAACTAAACTTTCCCTATAATATCCATTGTCTTTGTGAATCTCTCCCAGCCAACTTGAAAATCCCCCCAAATTTCAAGGAATTTGAATAAAAGTGTCTGGGTAAGTGCATTGTTTGCGTGAGATAAAATGTAAAACCTCATCTGTTCTCTCTCTCTCTCTCTCTCTCTCTCTCTCTCTCTCTCTCTCTCACACACACACACACACACACACACACACACACACACACACACACACACACACACAATGAAACCACCCAGCATATTTTTCTAACCAACTGCCAAGAACCTGAGCTGGACCTTTCTGTTTCGCTCTCAGCTGATGCTGGCTCCCTTCGAGGCAATTCGGCACAGCATCAGGCTTACCTCATGTTTCGCTGAAACACTGGTTCTGAAAAGCAGCCTCAAGATGACATTCTGGGATGAAGACCGATGTTGTATGCAGCGCGGGAGGCAGGAACAGGGGGAGGTGGCCAAGCGGTGTTAATGCAAATGTGTTCCCGGGCTTACTTGCTGGCACACCAAGTGGACACCCAGCCATCTGAATCTGGGCCAGCGAATTTGGCACATCTTGGGCAGGCAGAGCACGAGTCCAGCGCAGCATCCTGCTGCTGTTGGCATGTATACAGCTGTCTTTCTTCATCTGACTCTCGCTGCCACCACGGACACTCAACAGGTGCTGCCAGGGACACAGTGTGTTTGGCAGCTGTCAACTTTCAATAATCATCTCTGTAGCAGATCCTGCTCCATTCTCCCACCCCACTTCTCCCCCTCTACGCCCCTCTCCAAAAGCCCAGCACCATTTGGACCATTGCAAGATGCAGTTAGTTAGGTAAGGACACTGTTGAAGGCCTGAGGTCATCTGGAGAGAGATCCTGCTGGGCCACAGCCCCATTGTGCCTTTGACTGCTACAAGCTACAGCTCTTCTGAGTTGATTCAGCCATCTTTTCTTAGTCCTCTTTCTGAGGTCAGTTGATTTTAAGGTTTTATTTTATTGGGATGCGGGGAAAGGTTTCTTTCGTCTGATACAGTTTCACATTAGTACCCATTATCATTATCTACTGGTGACATGTCTGCTCCAGGAGAGCTGCATCTATGTTCTTACAGGAGAGGGGGGACTAAAGTATAACGATGTTTATTTTAGCGGACACACAAAGATTATGTACTTTTATGGTAGAAACTGTATGGCATAATGTTTTCAAATGTGTACACATTGTGCTACAGCTATGCCACGCTCGTGAACAAATGCATGACCTCTGAAGTGAACTGCTAAGCCATTCTTCGTGCCCTTCATTTTTTATTAGCTGTTTTTGAAACAGGACCGTGAAAGAGCAGGTCTCTTTCAGATCACAAGCACAGAAAATGGCCTTGAAAGCTTGCTGGAACCAGAAGTCTCCCTGGAGCAGAAGCTGGGGAGATGAGAGAGTTTTGTGGAGCTGTATGAGAAGTGAGCACACTGGTCAGCAGAGGCCAGCCAAACACAATATGACTGGACACTGTATCAACTCTTTCAATCAGAATCTCTTTCTGGTCCTTCTCCAGAGGCAAGCTCCACCCCAAGTTCTGTGACACCCGGAGCCTTTTAGTCCCTGTAATGCCTCTACTTGGACCTCCATTTAGACAAGATAGTCCACTTGTCCCAGTTTCTGAACCATAAGATGCAGGCTTATGCGGGCTCAGTTTCCTGCCTCTCCTTGGCTCCGCGACGTCCGTGTAACCGTCTGTGTGGCTCCCTCTCAGTGTTCATTAAGGAGTGGGTTTTCTTGTTATCTTTCATTATCATCAATATTGAAGCTGTTTTCTCTGTAGTTTTGAATCTTTAGGGGGAAAAAGGCAGGTGCTTCATACAGCATATCACCAAGCAAATATCTTTCAGTAGGTACCCAGTTCATCCTCCAGAAAGGATGAGGCAAGAAAGACGCCGTCCTTCAGAATCTCTATTCTCTTGACTTCCCTGTAGTCCCCATTTAGTCTACAAGTTGCTTTTCTTTGCTTAGCTTTCCATAGTGAAGAGTTGTAGACTAACGGTCAAGGAAGCCCTCCCCACACTAACACTTCAAGAAATATGCATTATCTATGTCTTGCACAATGTAAAAGCTATAATTTTAGAGTACAGATTTTGTTTCTTTTTATTATTTTTATCTATCTATCCATCCATCCATCCATTCATCCATCCATCTATCCATCTATCTATCTATCTGGTAAGATCTCACTCATGTAACCCAGGTTGGCCTCTAACCCACTGTATAGTCAAGGATGACCTTGAACTTCTGATCCTTCTGCCTCTATCTCCTGAGTATTAAAATTGCAAGTGCGTGTTCCTGTGCCTGGTTTATGGAGAGCAGGGCCTGGGACCCAGAGTCTGTGCACACTAGGCAAGCACTTTAACGACTGAACTACATCCCCTTTGTAGCCCGAGACTACAGATGGCAACTCGGTCACTGAGTAGGAATTTTAAGGTTACCATTGTCTCTGACAGCAGGCTAGTCACATGCTCAAGCATAAAGCCTCAGCAGTGTTTCCCTGCGGGGCATATCTACTCCACAGGAGACCCACACAGAGTGCCACAAAGATGCTGCCAAACAGCTGAGCAACACATTCTCTTCCTCAGTTATTAATCTCTGTACGTTCCTGCTCACAACAAAAAGAACAGAGTCTAGGAGAGCCCACAGACCAGGGTTGTCCTCCCCAGCACACACAAGTAACTGGACCAAGTAGTGGAGGCACTTCCGTGCTGTAAAAACCTCACCGACACTGAAGGCATCTTCCTGCTCTCCAATATGGCCATTTATATGTAAATCTTAAGCTTGCTAGAGGGATTATTGCATATCCCATATGATGGTAGCTCACATTGTAATGATTGCATGTGTCTTTTTTGTGGTTTTCAAGTAAAACGTCTTACTTTTGAACAGTATAATCAGCCTCTTACTAATGTTAATAACTAAATGTCACAGATGTAGAACATTGCTTTAGATGGAAGGCGTAGTTTCAGCCTCTGGGATCTTTAATGTATGCTTTACAGTACAACTAGGCTATCCATAATAAACGTACATGTGTGCAAGCACATATATATATGTATATATATATATATATATATTACATACAACATATATGTGCATGTTATCTATGATGTAACAAGGATAAATCTCACAAATCAGTCATTGAATGCATTAGGAGATGCCCAGGCTTTGTCTTGCTTCCTCTATATTCTAACTATTGAGGATAAAGAACTATGCTGGGCTAGAGAGGTGGCTCAATGTTTAAGAATGTGTATTGCTCTTGCAGAGGACCAGAGTTTGGTTCCTCATATCCATGTCAGATGGCTTACAACCACCCATATCTCCAGATCCAGGGTATTTGACACCACTAGCCTCTTAGGGCACCTTTACTCCTGCACATATCCATACAAAGGTACACACACATATGCATAGTTAAAAATTAAATCTTTTTTAAAAAGAAAAATAACTAAATACCACTAATTTAGTATATGTGTCATTTCCCAAAAGATACTTGCCACAACCATGTAAAATGTTCCACCATGACATCTTAGATGGACTTTCAATAGGCTGTTCTAATATTTAATTTGATAAGCTACTTATGTGTTTCTGAATAATGAAGCTTATGATGAACCTTTCATCATGAATTGTCTTCATATTCCTTTTGCAGATGTGATTAGCCCAAGGATAATTTGTGGAAGAAAGATTATTGGTAGACCAGATGGTGATGCTGGCACATATTCTACAAGCAGGTAAGGCAGACCCTAGTCAAGTGTATGATGGTTCCAGCAAGGGCAAATCCCATCGTTACCTGAAAGGTCAGATGTAATTGCTCTCCTACCATGTGTCTGGCTGGTTTCCCTGAGGAATGATGGCTGCCAGAGGGTTCAGTGTCCATCTTTACTCCTACAAGTTTGAGAGAGGTCAGATTTGATGAGAGGACCCGTACTACTGGGCCAGGTTCAGCCTCATGGTAGTAGCCTTCTACCATGACTACTATGCCAACAGGCCTACTGAGAAACCATGGATACAGTTAGGGAAGAAGGATGCCTGACATCAGTTGGATGGATTGGGCTCTATTCCTGTCTAAGAACCCCTTCTTTGCAGGTGTCCTCTGTAAGTCATTCATATGTGCCTTGAGGAATGCATACTGTCAGCCACTTCCATGGGGTTTTCATGTGCCTTTTCCCGAGACTTTCTAATTAGGAGTCTCCCAATCCTATTCCTCCTGGAGCCCTCAGTAAGCACTCACAAGCAGCAGATGCTTGGCCATGGGTGAGGGATTTAGGCAGGACACCACAGCATCTACTATACACTTCGGACATTTGATGTGATCATGACTATACTTCAACCATAGCACCCGTTTCCTAGTAGAGACCCCAGCTCCAAGGCAGTATTCTCTGAACATCAGTTTATACAAGATAACCACTATCAAAGGTCTATCAAAAAATCCATTGATCAAAGATGAAAACAAAATATCCTCAGCTCTACTGGGGAATAGAGTCAGGTGCTGGGGTGTGAGTTTATTAATCACAAATCTTTCCCAACATTCTTATATACTTGAGCCCATTGACCTGTTACTCTATAGAAAGGAAATTTTGATGTCTCTGTCTTATTTCAGAAGCCATTTTCAAACCCGCATGTTAAGAAACTTACCCTAGCAAACTCTTAGGCCAACTTCACAGGTATTGACAAAATATCAAGTCCGGAATCATGGGTGAATATCTACATGCCACGTAGTATAGCCTTATATTCCAGCCCCTATTCTACAATCTTCAAGGTCATTTTCTACTGATGTGCCTACCTTTCTTGCCAGCACATGATGATAAATCTTGTTTTTTGCTTTGTAGTTATAGAAACAAAGCTATTGGAGAATTAACCCAGAATCACTTGTGGGAAACTGAGGAAAAAGCATAGATATAGGAATTAGAACAAGATGGAGATTTGGTTGTAAGACAAAGGAAGAAACAGAAGTCGATAGGTAGTCAGATCTAACCACTGGGAGAAGAAATTGCTGAAGGATGCTACTACATGGGATGCCCTCTTGTCTTCGCAAGTGTTCTCACGTCTCCCCGAGGTCTTCCTAGCTGCCCTGCTTTGACGACCACTTAGTGTAAAGTGAGCAGAAGACCAGAGTTGGTCCAGTAGCAAGACTGACTTCTGATGCTAGGCTAGAGCACCTTAATCTTCTCCAACTCAGAATGGGATTGGTTCCACAATCAACAGATTGACTGTATTAGTCAGGGTTCTCTAGAGTCACAGAACTCATGGAATGACTCTCTCTATCTATAACTATATGAATTTATTGGGGTGATTTACAGGCTGCAGTCCAACAATGGATAGTTATGAATGGAAAGTCCAAGAATCTAGCAGCTGCTCAGTCCCATGAGGCTGGGTGTCTCAGCTGGTCTGCTGGGATCCCAAAGAAGGAATGGATGTGCTGACAAGGTGAGGGCAAGCAGATAAAGAACAAACCCTTCCTTCTTCCATTGTTCTTATATAGGCTTCCAATAGGTGTGGCCCAGAGTAAAGGGGTGCCTTCCAGGCTCAAGGTCTGGATCAAGGGCTTGTTGTCTTCCTGCCTCAAGATCTGGTATACCTTTCATTTCTGGATTATAGCTCATTCCAGATATAGTCAAGTTGACAACCAAGAATAACCATCATATTGACC